GACAGGTTCTGGCAGACGGGTACCTGATGATCGGCATTGATGGATCAGAAGCTGCAGACGGCTCAGACTGGTTCTGTTATCACTCCACGTCTCCGTCCATCTTCCCCGCTGGCTTRTGTGAGATCAATAACATCGAGCTGACGCCCCCTCGAGGTAGAATGGCCCCGCCCACTTGGAGGCGGGGCTGTGAAGGTTGCTCTGCGACACTTTAATAAAACCATAAATGAACATTATTGTTTAAGTAAAGTTAGGAACTGTTAGGTTTGTAGGAAGTCCTGGAAATGTTCTGTAGAGTTATAAAACCTGGACTTTCAGGACCCGGTTCACCAAAAACTCTGGTCTGGTGTGTCAGGTTACYGCAGTCTGCCCTTCAGGTGGTTCGAGTATCTGAAGGAGACCAAGTCTGTGGCTGCACCTGTCAACCTCTTCAACAAGGTGAGACCTCCCTGTARCCCGGCAGTCCTCAGTCCTGCTCCTGGACCTGGACTTGTCCTCACTGTCCACAGCTCTTACTCAACTTCCTATCCCGACAGGAAGTCCCAAACCACGGTTTCCGTCCCGGGATGAAGCTGGAAGCCGTGGACCTGATGGAGCCTCGGCTGGTCTGCGTGGCCACGGTGACCCGCATCGTCCACCGGCTGCTGCGGGTCCACTTCGACGGCTGGGAGGACGAGTACGACCAGTGGGTGGACTGCCAGTCCCCGGACCTGTACCCGGTGGGCTGGTGCCAGCTGACCGGGTACCAGCTGCAGCCTCCCGCCGTCAACGCAGGTAAGCCTCACCTGAGCCGGGCCTCCTGAGGGGACAGGTGAGCCCCGGTCTGTAAGGACTTCCTTTGTTCCAGGGTCCAGAGACGGACAGTCTGCAGCGTCCAAACAGAGGAGGAAGTCCCAGCAGTACAGAGGACAGAAGAAAAGTACGTCCCCTCAGACCTGACCGCTTCTGGTTTTATTCAGAGACGTGACTTCTGTTAACTCTCCGTCTCTCAGAGAGGAAGTTACCTGTTGCTAAGCGCCCCGTCAGCCTCTCCGGCGCCATGGTAACAGGAGTACCCAGGAACCTGTCGGGAGACGAGAACGAGACTCCGCCCGATTACCCATCACCCCCTCCCCCGGCCTCGGCAGCCCAGCCCACCTCAGCTGACCCCGACACCGAGGGGGGACCAGGTAAACACACCTGCCACCTGGACTCAGACAGGAAGTGGTCGATCAGGAAGTACTTAGACAGGAAGTGGTCAGTCACAGGTGTTCAGACAGGAAGTGGTGGAACTGAAGGATTTTAATCAGTATTTGATCAGACATGAATTAATGAAAGAAGAAGTGTTCAGGTACTCTGACAGGAAGTGATCAAACAGGAAGTGAGTTAACTTTGCTTCATGACTGACGTTACCTGTAGCGCCACCTGCTGGCACTCGTTAAAATCKTTTCTGTTCTGATGGAGACGAGTCTGAAGCTGTTTTTCCTTCAGATTTAGTTGTTTGTTGTGTTCAGGTCTGCAGACGGAGGAAGAGGAGGAGGACAGCAGGATGAAGAGAGTCGGAACAGAAACCAACGGCTCGTCTGCAGGTTTCCTCTCCAGCTAAAACATTTTCTCCTCTGTTGGAGCAAAACTGCTCAAAGTTCAGAGAGAACTCCTCCTGCTGCCYCTTTCATTTCACAAAAACAGAAAAAATGTCCTGGTGCTGAGTCAGCACAAACTGAAGGAGCCGCACTGAAGAGGCACGAAGGAGGAAAAGAGTTTGTGTGATTTTATTTCCAACGTTTGGATCGTTTGTCGCTGTTAAACGTATGTGTTTGTGTTTCTGTGATGCGTTCAGGTGCTGCGTGGAAAAATAACTGGTTTTAACTTCATGGACTGAACTCAAATCACCCAGTTTCTGCTCAGCTGGAGGCTTTCTTTACTTTAATATTTATTCTCTGTTTCAGTTCAAAGTTGGTTTAAAAGAAAAAATGTGAAGCGAGTCGTCGTCAGATTTTCTGTTTGTTCAAATATTTTATTCTTTATTTGTTTCATGGAATTGTTCCAACAAAGTGAAAATGAAAAGTTTTATTATTGTTAGTAAAGACAGATTTATATAAATCTAAAAGTGTAGTTTATTAATTGATCAGTAAAAAGTTTTAATCATATCAGTCAAAATAAATACAACTAAATTTATCAGATTATTTTGATTTCAGTAATTAAACCTCAATAAAACTGAAGTTTATCAGACTTAATAAATAAATTATTAACAGATAAAATAAAAGTACAGCAGTATTAATATTTACTGTAAAGTTGGATSTTAGTTTATTGTCAGTGTTTTAAAGTTTTTCAACAAAAAAGAAAATAAAAACATGAAATTATTGTTTTAATGTCGAGGTACTAAAATACAATATAAACTATAAACCGGTTATGGTTAATTTTTCTCACTTAGTAAAGTTTACTAAAACAAAGACTTTTTTTAGATTTTCTTTTAAAATCCCAGATTTTTTGTTTTTCTATCAAATATTTTATTATCAGAAAGAAAAATTGATCATTTAATTTAAAATTTGTTTTCATCCAATCAGGAAGCAGCTTGTTGAAATGAAGCATCTGTTTACAAAAATAAACAAAAACAAGAAACTTCAGAGAATTTGTTGTTGTTTTGGTTCTAAAAGAAAAACCTGGACTGATCCTCGGAACAGGTCAAAAACTGCACAACTGATCTGTTTTTATCAATTTAATTAGTTTTTTCTTCACATCCTTTAAGAAACGATAAAGAAATCTGTTGACAGAATCAATAAAAATGTTTTTATTTGGTTAAATTTTTTATTTTTTTTATGTTTTCAGCTCTACGGTGTCCTCTGTGGGACAAACCAGGTTCTTTTCTCTTCCTGTTGGAAACTTTTGGTTTTAGTAAACTCATCTCATTATTTATTTAATTTTTACTTTGAGATTAAATTTCACTAAAGTTTGTTTTTATTGATTTATTGTTTTTTGTTCAAGTTATATTTTATTAAGATTTTTTTCTTGCTGAAAGTTAAAACCTTCAGATCCTTTTATGTTGGGCTGAAAACTCATCAAATGTTTCAGAAAGTTTTTTTTTTTGAACAGATTTTATTTCAGTCTGTGGTTCTGGTTCAACGTCTCATGAAGTTTATTTTTTGAGTCGCTCATTTTGTCTAAAATAAAAWCAGCTACACATTAAAAGACTTTCATTTAATCTTTAACCTGCAGCTCCACAAACAAATCTATCAGATAAATAATAAAACTGTTCAACTTTTATCTGTTCGGCAGCTTTGAATCAGAAAAATAACCTTTTATCTTKTTGTTATAAATAAATTAAATGTTTGTGACAAACAGATTTTTATAGAAAACCTTTTCATAAAGTGACTGAATGTTTGTAAAAGTTAATGTTGTGAAATGTTSAAATAAGAAGAATCTGTAAAGGTTTAACTGATGAAGGTTTTTATATTTGGTGTCATGATTGTGAACAAGAGAAATAACTTTACAGTTTATGTAATAAAATCTTATTGAAGAAAATTCATTTATTTTGAAATTTTTTTTTTTTGTCTTTGAGTGAAAACAAGAAATGCAAGATTTTTTTTCATACTTTTTGCTTTAGCTAATGTTTTGGTYCTTAAAGGTTTTGGCTAGCTTCTAGCTACTTTCAGCCAATCTTTTGCTGTTTCAGCTATAAGCTACCATTTTACTACTTTTTAATTGGCCTTTTTAAATCGGAGTTTCCTAAAGGAACATTTTAAACTTTGACCTCTTTCAGACAGAAAAAAGCTTCTGGACCCAAAGTTGAGTCAAACCCAGAGAAGTTCTGATTCTGGTCCCTGAAGACCCGGTTTGTCTCCATTAAAAACACACAAACTGTTAACATGAGACTTTATTGATCATGTTGTGGTTTGATTGGAGAAAACCAAGTCAGAGGATCGACTGTAGAGTGGGTGGAGCCAGTGGTGGAGGGCGGGGTTTCRGTTAGTGGGTGGGGTTTACTCATACAGGAAGGCCTGAGAGCAGGGGGTCCAGTTGACAAACTCCTCGGCCTTGAACCACAAGTCAACCTCCCTCTTGGCGTTTTCCAGGGTGTCGCTGCCGTGGATGATGTTCCTGAGGAGACCAGAATAACACATGCTTATTACAGGCTTATTACTTCGCTTATTACATGGTTATTACCTAACTTTTAACCTTAATACCTATTTATTTCCTCATTAATACCTATTTTAACTGATTATTACCAGATTATTACTTAACTTATGAACTTAATACCTGATTATTACCTGTTTATTACCTGAGTAATACATATTTTAACTGATTATTACCTGATTATTACTTAACTTATGAACTTAATACCTGATTATTACCTGTTTATTACCTGAGTAATACATATTTTAACTGATTATTACCTGATTATTACTTAACTTATGAACTTAATACCTGATTATTACCTGTTTATTACCTGAGTAATACATATTTTAACTGATTATTACCTGATTATTACTTAACTTATAAACTTAATACCTGATTATTACCTATTTATTGCCTGATTAATACATATTAACTGATTAATAGCTTATTACCTAACTTATTACCTTATTATTACATGATTAATTCCAATTTATTACCTGATTAATACATATTTATTAATTGATTAATACCTCATTATTACCTATTTGTTATCTGATWAATACATATTTATTAACTTATTAACACTTTATTATTACCTAACTTACAGCCTAATTGTTACCTGATTACTACATATTTATTAACAGTTTAATAACTTATTATTACCTAACTTATTATCTGATTAGTACCTAACTTATTACCTTTTAATACCTATTTATTACCTGACTAATACATATTTATTAACTGATAATACCTTATAACCTAACTTCTAGCCGAATTCATTACCTGATTATTACCTGATTATTACCTAACTTATTGCCTTATTAAAACATATTTTTAACTGATTAATACTTGATTATTACTTATAAACTTATTAATACCTGATTAATGCCTATTTATTACCTGATTACTACATATTTATTAACAGATTAATACCATATTACCTAACTTATTACCTGATTATTACTTGTTTATTACCTAATAAAAACCTGTAATACCTGTATATTAGCTGATTTTTACCTGATGAATACCTGATTCTCATCAAGTTATTACCTAATTATTACTAACTATTACATAATTCTAATCTGTTTGTTACTAGATTATTACCTTTTATTACAGATCAATGCCTGATTATTACCTAATTATGATTAATACCTGATCAATACCAAGGTTTTACTTGGTTATTCTCTAATTAATARCTGATAATTATCTGATTATCAGTTGTTCACTCACCTGCCGATGTTGATGCACAGGTCTCCACGGATGCTGCCGGGCTTGGAGTCAGCAGGGTTGGTCTCACCCAGCATCATCCTGGCCAGCTTCACGATGCTCTGACCCTCCCAGACCTGAAACACACAGACCGACCCACCTGTGGTCACCTGACAGGAACCAGATCTGGTTTTGCTCAACAGTTTTCAGATCAGGAATCCTTCAGCCTGAGCAGGATCCCTACAGAACCCTAAACCCAGTAATGGACAGAGACTGAACCAGTTTAAAACCAGTCAGGAGACTAAAGCCCAGATCTCAGCCTCAAGGATTCTGTGTCTTTAAAAATAAAACCTGGTCTCTGGGTCCAAGGTCTGAGGGGCTAAAACCAACAGAGTCCTTGAGAGCTGGCTGACGTAAGGGAAGGAGCTAAAAGCAGACGGTGTGTTTGTGTTTGTGTTTGTGTTTGTGTTACCATGGCAAGGATTGGTCCAGAGGACATGTATTTGCAGAGTCCTGCGTAGAAAGGCATGTCCTTCAGGTCCAGGTAGTGCTGCTTCAGGTGGTCTTCAGAGCCCTGAGAAGAAAACAGGAGAACAGGTTCTCTGCAGGGTCTAAAGAGGATCCAGTCCCATCTGGTTTCACATGTCAATCATTTTAAAACTGAAGACCAGAACCTGAAACCTAAACCTGATTTACTGGTTTTAAAGAAGTCCTGGTTCTGTGTGGTGCAGGTACCTGCACACTGGTGCAAACAGGTGTTTATCGTAGCCATGGTTACCTGCACGAATTTGGCAGCGACCAGCTTGAAGCCCCTCTGCTCGAAGCGCTTGATGATCTCACCACACAGTCCTCTCTGGACGCCATCAGGCTTCACAGCGATGAACGTACGCTCCATGTCTGCTGAGGAGGCTGCAGGAAACACAGTCAAGCAGGTAAAGATATGATGCAGCAGCACCCACCTGAAGACTGAAGACTTTCCTTTTTCATAAATCCTATAGTTAGACTTAGGTTTCCTGAATTATTCTTCATTTCTGCTGCTATAG